CAATATGATGGATTTTTCTTTGAAATTTTGCGCATTGATCGAAATGATTGATTTTTATACGAGAGAGTGCGTCTGCATTTTTATTAGTTTTGCCTGGTTTGAAGATTATCTCATAATCGTATTCTTCTAGTTTCAAGCGCCATCGAGCTAACCTGCTACCAGGGTCTTTAATTGAAAAGAGCCAGGTCAGGGGGCGATGATCTGTAACCAATTTAAATTTGTGTCCGAAAAGATATGGGCGGAAGTGCTTTACTGCCCATACAATTGCCAAAAGTTCTCTCTCTATCGTAGAGTACTTTGTTTCGGCTGCACACAGGGTTCTTGATGCATAAGCAATCGGAAGATCTTTTCCTATTGGTCCTTGAGATAGGACTGCGCCTATCGCGAATGCACTAGCGTCGGTTGTTAGAAGAAAAGGTTCGTCAAAATTTGGGTATATTAGTATTGGAGATGTCGTGAGTGCTTCTTTAAGTGTTTCGAAAGAGTTTATACAGTCTGCGTTGAAATTGAAAGGGATGTCTTTTTGTAAAAGTCTTGTCAAGGGTTTTGAAGTCTTTGCGAAATTTGGGATGAATCGCCTATAGTAGCCGGAAAGGCCAAGGAAAGATTTGATGTCTTTCGGATTTTTGGGTTGAGGAAAATTTCTTATACACACGACTTTAGAGGGGTTTGGCTTCACGCCCTCTTGGGTGATGAGATGTCCTAAATATGCAACTTCCTTGCGAAGGAATTCACATTTGTCGGGTTGTATTTTTAGGTTTGCTTTCCGTAAACGTTTGAAAACTTCTGTAATCCGGGAGATATGTTCATGAATAGTAGGGGAATAGACGATAATATCGTCCATATAGACAAGGCAACGTTCATTCTGAATTCCCATTAAGATGTTGTCCATTACGCGTTGAAAGGTGGAAGGGGCGTTCTTCAATCCAAATGGCATACGAACGAATTCATAATGCCCATTTTCCACAGAAAATGCGGTTTTCTGGATATCTTTGGGATCGATCTCAATTTGGTGGAATCCGGAAGCCAAATCGAGGGTGGTGAAATATTGGCACTTGCCTAATTGGTCGAGAAGATCGGAGATGTTCGGAAGTGGGTACTTGTCGTCGATAGTCACTTCATTCAATTTTCGGTAGTCGATGACTACTCGCCACTTCTGTTTACCAGAAGCATCAAGCTTCTTTGGTACGACCCAAACGGGGGAAGACCATGGTGAAACTGAAGGCTGAATGATACCTTGATTGAGCATTTTCGATATTTGTGTCTTTACCTCTTCTTTATGTACTTGAGGGTACCGATAAGATTTGGTAAATGTAGGTCTACTGTCTTTCGTGTCGATGGGGTGTTTAATTTCGTTTGTGAACGTCAGGTTGTCACCTTCAAGATAGAAAATGTCCGAGAAATCTAAACAAAGTTCTGTTATGAGATTTTGTTCTTCTTCGTTGAGATGGTCGAGACGTAGTTGATTTTTAATTTCGAATTGTCGGTCAATTGGTACATCTGTATCTGATACTTGCATAGCCAAGTTATTTACTGAGAAATCCTGAAATGGTTCTAACACAAGATCGGAAAAATCTACTGTTTTTGGAATAGCATTAACGTTCAAAACCGAAGTTAGAAATTCTCCATTTTCGTCAATTTTGACAATCGAATTTGGTATTTTGACTTTTTCGATTTCCTGACCTATCAGTATAGCGTCGGTATTTAAAAAGTTGCATTTCAACTTGAACACTTGTTCGGTTCGAGGTTCGATATTTATTTTATTATGATATTCTCTAGAGGGTGGTGTATCAACTGAAGGTTGAGTATTTTCGTCGTCGGTTACTTTAAAAAGAGGGACAGTTTTGAAGTCAGTAATCAGTTTTTTATTTTTGAGGTCTACTATGCAATTATAATGTTCTAGAAAATCAGAGCCAAGGAGTCCGTCAAATTCTATATCTAAGTTGTGAATGTAAATTTTATGTGGGTCTTCAGGTTTGAATGGAATTAAAGTTGATTCGTTTATAATTATTTTCTGGTCGGTTATGCCTTGAATGAAAATATTTTCTGGAGAACGTTTTCGGTATTTTTCGCAAGTCTTTGGTTTAAAAATCGAAAGTCCTGCACCAGTATCTATTAGAATTTTGAAGGTATTAGTGATGTCTTTGATATAGTATAAGTTTTTCGAATTAACAGGCAATAGAGGTTTTAAATGAACCGTTGTTCCGGGAAATTCACATTCGGATCGAAACTGTCTAGGTTCATTGTTTGGATTTGGGCTTGAAGTTCGTCCATAGTATTCTGTTGTGGTTTGTTCGGTGGGTCGCCAGGATTCAGCCCTGACTGAAAATCCTGAATATCCGAATTTTGGGGTAGATTGTCATAGTCCGGGTACTGTGTCGAAAATTGATCTTATTCAAATTGTCTTTCAGCGGTATGATAATCAAATTGTTGGATTCTGCTATCAGCAGTATGATAGACTTGATCGTAATTTTGATTTTCACTAGCTGTATAGTGATCATCTTGATAAAAATCATTCTCATAATATTGGTCATACTGTTGGTAATTCAAATGGTGTGTCTGTTGATTATTTGGTCTGTTAAAATTTGGATTCGATTGAATGGTAGGTTGTCTTTGATTGTTGAAGTTCGGGTTAGGTCTTATGATTGATGGTCGGTTTTGTTGAAATTGATTGGGTGGTTGATATTGATTGAATTGAGGAGGTCGCTGTACTGGATTTGGGGTTTGGAATGGTCTTGAAGGCCCAGCTTGATTGAAATTTTGTTGGTTTGGTCTTGGAGGGTATTGTGGTCTATTTTGGGAATTCTGTTTTGCGCGGCATTCATGAATCAAATGTCCGGTACGTCCACAATATGAACATTGTTTTATTTGTTGAGATGAAATCGGTTTTCGAACAGAAACTGCATTCGGATTTCGATAGCTTTGTGAGTTAGGCAATTTTTGATTTTCGAAATAACTCAACTGCATTTCTCGTCTGATACGAGTAATTGCGGTTAACATATCGGTTGGGGTGCCTGCTCGAATTATTTGACCAAGTTTTGGATCTAATCCAGTCAACAGGGTGTTCAAACTCATAGTTTCTATAAGCCTGGACTGCGCGCCTCTTTGGTCTGGTGGCAAAATTTGTTTATTTACAGCGGCGTGCATTTTGGCATTATGCGTTTGCAATCGTTGAACGAATGTCATTGCATTTTCGCCGGGAAGTTGACGAAGTCTTTGGAGATCTTGAATTAATGAAGTCAAGTCTCTGGAATCGCCAAAGTGGGTATCTAAAAGATGTCTAACTTCTTCCCAAGTAAGTGGGTTTCTCGAATTCACTAGCTCTGCAGCACGTCCACGTAATTTATTTTTTATGTGAAGTGTTACTAGTAGTCGTTGTTCGTCGACTGCCATTCTGTAAGCGGTATTACAGGCTTGTAAAAAGGTGGTTAAGAATATTGGATTGCCATCATATTCCGGTATGATGGAAAATATTCCATTGAGTCTGTATGGCTCAATTTCTGCAGGTGGTCGTGGTGGTGCCACGTTTACGTTATCGTCATTCATTGCAATTGGTTTTTGTTGAAATGTGACAAAAAAGGGGAAACAATTGGATAATGGAACAGTTACTTGGTTGTTTCAAATTTGAAATGCGGTACGATTCAATATAGTACTTACAGGATCAGTATCATTGAGTTCGTCGTGTTCTCGTCGATTCTGCCAGGGGCTTCACCAGGTGTTCCTTCCACAGCTCTTCGAGTGATGACTCCCTCAGGTTGGTTCTTTGATTTCGGCAAAGGATTGGGATCCACCGTCACTAGTTAGGTCGTTTCCGTGTTCTAGCAACGTCACGAAATCCGTACGACTGCGCCAATTTGTTATCTCGTGGTTTTCGAAATAGACTTTTTAAAAACAATTTTATTTATTCCGGCATAGATTAAGTTTATACAATGAGCTTTATTTCAAGACTAACTTTTTGATATAATATAAAATGAATTTATATTAAAAATAATGCTGATGCCAGCGTCAGCAGATATTATATTCCATTTCTGCGGATGCTGACTTCAAGGTCAAGATCATGTTCTGAGGAATTGTTATCGCTGGTAAGTTGATACTACTGAGAACAATGGGAACTGATTTTAGCATATAACATTGATGAACGACTATTGTGGAATAAACATATAGATCATTTGAGAAACAAACTCAATCCTATTACAGGCATTTCATTCAAAGTACGAAATTTCATTTCTACTAGATACTTGAAGAGTATTTATTTCTCTCTTATTTACTCAAGATTTCAATACCCAATATCTATATGGGGAAGTACCAAAATTTCACGTTTGAGTCCACTAATGAAATTACAAAATAAAACATTGAAGTGTATTTTCAATTTAAATTTTCTCGAACCAACCATGAATTTATACAAACCTAGAGATTTATTAGATCTGACATCATTATATAACCTTAAAATATGTTGTTTTATTCAATTTGTCCTATATAAATTGAAAATTTCGAATTTAAATTTCAATGAAATCAATTCATTACATAATCATGGAACAAGACAATCAAATTTACTAATAGCAAATACGTTCAAGTCAAATATCGGCAAACAATCCATTCTTCACACAGGAATCGTTCTATACAACTCATTACCAAGTCAATTTTGAGCAATATACAGGAAGCAACTAGATTCAGAATTAACTTGAAAAAATATCTGCTTCAGAGACTTTGATAATTCCATTTCTCATTTGAATACCTACTTATAAAAGACAAGGTTGATATTGCATGATTATTTGCATTTTTTTTTTACTTGTTATATCTTATTATAATTTCATAATAATTGTATGTATAACATTATGTATATTGTTTATGTATCCCTATTATGAACAACTATGTTTTTTGGGGTAATAAAGACAATCAATAATCACCTTATTGAGGTAGGATTCACTATACTATATGAATTCCAATACATGTACAAATTTAATTCAATTTCTTTATAATTTATGCGGTAGGGAACTTACTTTGACATTATTTGGCCTATAATCTTCTTCTCCTTTTCATTGAAGGATGGATTGAGTTTCAATATTCCACTGTTATTCTTCTCTATTTCTCTGAAATGATGAATATAATTATAAGGAACAAAATATAGGTACTTTAAAAAAATGTGTGGATATTACCTGATTCTCTTCTCGTATTTGATGATTATCTTCTTCATTTGAATTGTGCAATCATCATTTTTAACAAAATTATCTGTTTCAGCATAATATCCTTCATCGTTACTTCTACTCTTGATTAAGTTTCTCAAAGCACTGTTTTCATTTTCGAGGTGTTCCAAGTGCGGCTGAAGTTTATTCTCCCTGTCTACTTTTTCTGCCCAAGATTTTTCTCTGCGTTCTATCAAATCTTTCAAGTACTTCACAGTGTTGACCAGTTGTTCTAATTCAAAGCTTGAAGAAAAATGATGATATAATCTTATTAGGTAATAAAGAATTTGATTGATCTGAATTATAAACTGACGCATTACGCTTTGTGAATCCGAAATTTGAATTAACCAATGTGAATCATAATGTATGCTCTCTGAATTCCTCTGAATTGCAGAAGATTTTCTCTGAATGGCTAACAGTTATTGATACGTTCTTAATTTCATTTAACCAATCTGAAGTGCACATGAAGTATTCTGAATTACAATTGACTAATAATCTGAAGAAAAAAATTATTGAAAATGGTGTAGATATCAAGTGATCGCTCTGATTCTTACGGCGCAATGATACAAGAATCTTTGTAAGTCTCTCTGACATTTTCCAATTCTCTCCTCAACTCTTCGGCCTCAATACAGCCCCTGCATAAGATCCCCTCCCAAGTTTGGGAGCCTTTTTCTCTTATTTCAATCATCTTCCTTCCAGCTGCCTCATTGTACTTCATGTTTATGTACGCTTCCTTGAGTCTGATGAAGACGTCTTGGTTGTCTTTAACGAACTGGAGTTTCTTTTCCAGCTTCGAATTTTGGTTTCTTTCATTGATCAAGCTGGAAATAACTAATTTATGATGGAAAATTTCGCGACCCTAATAAGTACAAGTGTATATCGAGTGACACTGACGTCACTGACTCATGGTATACCTCCCTTTTCTCCTTTGTTTCTCTAGCTATATTTCTGAAAGTTGAAACATCGACTATGCTCACTATAGAGGACACTTTCTCATATTTTTAGATTTTCATTTTCATCTTCCAGTTTTCCTGGAAAAGACATCAACTTTCGATTTTCAAATGGAACACCCTGAATTTTATTCTTTATCTCCTAATCGGTTAGAGATTATTATAACGTATTCAACAATACCGGGTTTGATTGGTAATTTCAAACGATCACGAAGATATTCACGTTCTGAGTTTCCATATGCTCAATGACTGTGACAGAGAAGTTTCGATATTGCGCCGTCACACCCATTGAGCTTATGGAAACTTTTAACGTGAATATCTTCGTGATCGTTTGAAATAACCCAATCAAACCCGGTATTGTTAAATTATGAAATAAAATACAGGGTATTCCATTTGAAAATCGATATATGGTGTCATTTCCAGCAAAACCGGAAGATGAAAAAAATATCATAAATTGTGAAAAAGTGTCCTCTAAAGAGAATATTCGATGTTCCAAATTTCAGGAATATAGCTAGAAAATGAAAGGAGGAAAGGAAGGTATACCATGAGCCTGTTTCACCCGGTATGGTGGATGGCCCGTTTGGACATTCAAAATTTTTTATATACAGGTTATTTCGCAATTTCCAACCCACGAGCAGTGTGGTGGGGTATATATAGATACCCTCGACTCGACTCGACATAATTTGTATAATAAAATGTATTTTGAAAGAGTCTGATTTCTTTCACGCCAGGGTAGCTTCAGTATAGAAATTTCTCACTACATACAAGAAGCGGCAACGGTGGTTTCCACGTTAGGTAATTTCTGGAATATCGTCAATCCAATTCACTTGGGGTACACATACCCCACCACACCAAAACTGGAAGTGTTTTAAGCCGAACAAAATACTGATAAGAATACGATGTTTTCCTCTATATTCAATATTTCCAAGGTTTTTCAGTTTGGCAGCCTGACAAAATGAATGTCAATGTCAAGTATTTTTTTTATATCACTTATATGTGTCTCGCTGGTTGCATGCAGTTGCATGTATTATGTTCTCCATTCCCATTCCTTTCGAATTATTTTGTAGGTATGTTAATATAATTTTCGGAGTTCGTAGAAAAATCATAGTATGTAACGCGTTCATAAACTCTTCTAGACACTCGTTTATTAAACACTCGCTCCGCTTTGCTCCGCTCGAGCTTAAAATACTCGTTACTAAAAGGACGTTTTTTTATTTTTTTCATCGCTTGGAGCGCACGATAGGGAATCCCTATAATATTCAAAGATCATCGTGCGTTCCTAGGGAGGATAGGGACAGGAGGTAGGTATTGGAATTTTTTTTTAACTTTTGGAGATTATATGTTGTTGGGAATACTTCCATGCACAGGCAATGAATTCCAGAGCCTAGACGTTTTATGGATGAAGGAGTCTTGATAAAGTGCTGTTCGACATCTTTCGAGGTTGACAACGAAAGGATGTGCTGACTGGGCTTGTCTAGTTCGTCTGATTGGTATTGCTAGTGAAGGGATGATAGCAGAGATTTCCGAAGAACATTTCCCGTGGAAGTATCGATAGAAAAGTGCCGACCTTTCTACGGTGTTCCAATGATGTCAAAGAGTGAGTGAGTGTAGCGTCACCCACCAGGCGAATGGCTCTTCTCTGGATGGAATCTAAGAGCATCAGCGTAACACTTGTTACATAATATACTATTAAAAATTGGATTTTGAACAAAATAATATGAAGTTGTGATTATAATAATTTACGATAACTCATAATTTTGAAAATTGAAAAATTCAATTTAAAGTAAAATTTGAGGTTTATCATAACACACCACACTTCTGATGTGATGATTTTCCACCACACTGCCGCCAGGTTAACAAGCCATATCTCGTTTAATGGTATATTATGTAACAGGGGTTATAAACGTCATTTTAGTTACGAGTATTTTAAGCACGAGCGCAGCAGAGCGGAGCGAACTGACAATAAAATAGTGTTCATAGATAATTTTTGCCAAAACCAATGAGTTCAATATAGCTGCAAATGTCAAAACAATAATCGTTTTTTATTACTTTCCAATGCCTCCTTGATTGTTTTTTTCTTCACTAACGATGACTATTCATTACATCGAACTATCAGAGCATTTAGGCAGATTATGATACTGGATGTTGATTAAAAATATCGATGATATGGTATCAGCGTGTTCGTAACAAAATCCCGTTTTCAAATATGGTGAAGAGCCACGACCCTTGTTCCATTTGAGAAAATTGAGTTAACATCATAATTACGATATAGAAAATGTTGAATTAACCTGTTAAACAAATGGGAAGTAATACTTCATCGAAACTATTTTTCCTTGGCAAATTGGTTCAAAATCAACTGTTTAAACTCATTCATGGCACTCTAGATTGTATATTGAATCTGGAAATATCAGGATGATGAATGTCAAAAAGTGGCAAATGGGGTGTCATTATACCCACAATGAGATTCTCTATCGAAATAAGTAAAAAAATACCGGATGTCCCATTCAAAATATGAAAATAAGGGTCATTTCCGGTCAAACCAAAGGGACAGAAAACAATTGGATACGTTAAATAAGGCATCTTCGCGTATTATACTCACACATCGAATTTTATTTTTTTATCTGAAGAAACAAAAGTTATAGGAGTTAGCCACTTTTGAGAAACACCCGGTGTAGTTCGACGCGCCAAAGTCCGGGTACGAAAGGGAAAGGATGGTCGAAAATCAATTGATCGAAAAATTAAATGATCGTAAAATCAAATGAAAGAATAACAATTGATCATAATATCATTTGATAGAAATATAAATTGCTCGAACTAACATAAAAGAAACATATTTGATGAGATACGTCATTCCCTGAAATGTTAGGAAGGAAAATATCCTTTCTGCAGAAGCATACAAAAGGAGACTACTTTAGTTATAGTTATACTTGAGGTTATACTCCTCACAGCTTCCCATAATAAAATCCTACATATCAATGAATTTATGGAATCTATGCAAAGGGTTTGAGACGAATCGGTAAGTATCGTTGAATATTATAAGCCAATGATTATAATCGATCAAAATGTAGTTCGATCAAAATGTAGTTCGATCAATTTATATTTCGATCAAATGGTATTTCGATCAATTGATTTTCGATCGATTGATTTTCGATCAAATGATGTTCGATCAAATGAAGTTCGATCTAATGATTTCGATCATATTTCCGGCAACCGTAGAGGATGAAGGTGTTCAGTGCTCAGAGCCTAGAGTTTCTGAAGAATTCGCTTTTGCAAATGATATCGCTTTCATCAAATCATGAACGAGAGTGATAAACCTAGTATCTCAAGACTAAGAGATTCTAGGGAAATTTCGTGAATCGGTTGTCAGCTGATGCAAGACAGACTGTTTCGACTTTCCATAAGTCTCATCAGTTGACTGACTGCATATTTGAACTGATACCACCTGCGAGCGCTTGGGATTCTTTTTTTGAATTCCCAAAATCATCAGACTAAGTATATGTGATGTGATTATTGCTTACCAGCAATTAGATTTCTCAACTTCGTATTCCAGAAGCTTGCATCTTGTATCAGCTTCTGCTAGCTTCGCTTTCAAAGCTTTGACTTCTTCAGCGTCGTCCAATATGCTCGTGCTTATGGAAGACACACTGTTCATATCTCCGCCTTCGCATCTGACAGCGCTGGAGGTTTTCGAAAGATTGGCAGTTCGATTTTCATTTTCGCTTATGGAAATTTCATCTTCGTCGTCGAGATCGTCAACTGAATTTGTAATGAAGATTTGGTCATTATCATCGAATGTGACTACGTGTTTTTGCTGTGGTTCCATGACTGAAATAATTTCTGGGCTTTCGGGATTTACACGAAAATGACACTGGATGGCTGAAAAGTCTGATGGAGTTAAATTTCGGATGACGGGTAATGACTGATGGATAGATTTGTCACTCTTATTACATCAAAACTGTCAAATACATACAGGGACTCTAGTCTGAACGAACGTCAAAATTTGGCGACGAGCTTTGATTGTTTACCTTAGTTTGTAAAAACTTGTAAAAAAAATATGAATTAGTTACCATGGAAATAATTCTAAATTTCTGAAAGATTAATTAATGAAAACATCCTGCGACTCATTTGATTCTTCACCAATTGTCACTGAGAACTGACGTCAAGACAAATACGAATTTGCTGGACAAATATCCATTTTTTTATGTTGAAAACGGGAGCAGATTCGTTCCCGAAACGTCCAAACCCAAGTGAAAATTTGACATTTTTTCTATACACCTTCATTTCTCTTCCCCAAACCGTTTTCAATACAAATTGTCAAATTGGCAAATCACTTGATTCGTCCTTTCTACACGTATATTGAAATGATGTTCATATTTATGTATTCAGAATAATGATCACTTATTAATTCCATTAAGTCAATAGGACCGAACAGAATTATAGCGATAGTCACCCGTTGTTATAAGCAACGAAATCAAAAAGGAGCCTTCTAATTGGTTCAAAATAAATTTATGAAATTTTCGCGATGAGCACATATTGTCTCTGGATGTGATTGGTCAGATTATGTGATGAGTGATGAAGTCATCAAAAAGAGAATTATCCTCAGAAGAATATTGTCAACTCTGGATAAGTCACATCAAAATTTGTACATCAATATTGGAAAGAGTCTATGGAGTCTATGGAGTCTATGGAGTCTATGGAAAAAGTTTGTAATATATTGGGAATTATCAATTATCATATCTCATTCGGATCGTATCGTAACTCACCTCGTACTCACCTATTAATAGCTATCATCACATGATCGTTGCATAAAATACTAGTACTTTTTTGGTTAGTTTGAGAACGATTCACGAAGAGACCTGAAAATTTTCTGAAAAATGACCTTATATTATTTATAGAGGATGTTTAACCAAACTCATATTTATATTGTTTACCGTGAAATTTTACATTTACCATAAATCAGTGTGTGTGTGTCAGCACTCATTCTACGATGTTCGGAAATGAAATATAGAAATAAATATCACGGAAGATTTTCATTCTTGAAAAACAGTCAATGAATATTTATGGTGAATCATTGTGGACAAACAAATATGAAGTTGTTATTGAATTATCTGTTACTAATAGGGCAGTCATTATTGAAATTAAGTTGGACCATTAATTCGAGCAACAAAGCTTCATGAATGATGAGTGGTAAACCTCGTCATCTAATGAAGAGTTCAAAATAAACATAAGGTCCTCAAGTGGTTAGTTTTAGAGATGCAGGGTGTTGAAGCTGAAAAATAGAGGTCGTTCTTTAGAAAAACTCAATTTTCCTGAGTAGAATTTGGTAGACTATATTCTTTCAGAATGCTCAATTTATGACGATACAGTAAATTCGATCATTTATTCCAATAACGCGCTACAGAAGGTTGTTGTTGTTGTGAATTTTTCTCTGATGAAATTTTCATTATTTTGAATTTTATTGAAAAGAGTCTAAATAAATAGGTTTCAAGATATTTGATCCAAAATAAAATTTTGTATAATAATTTGTCTTACTATGAAATTGGAAGGTATTTGATTAATGAATCTATTTGAGAAATAAAAAAAAATAGTTCACTCGCCTTTTGAAAACGCTGAAATATGCCCCCTATTTTGGGTGAAATATCCCAGAAACTGTTCAATTAAGTTCAGTTGAAAGAATTCGAGAAGCTCAAAATAATCAAAATGCATCTTCGGCGTAGAAAATATGGGTGAATGAGTTACTGATAACATAATATCGCTGTTGTCATCATGGACATTTAGTTCAATAGCTCGAAATGAATGGTAACAGCGCCTCCACCAATACCATTACGGAGACCATATATACCTACCAGATTTTTTTCAGAATGCCCTCGTCTGTATACTTTATACCTCGTTTAATTTTGTTGAAATTTTACCGAATAGGTTATTCTTCTATAACTATAAGCATTGCAAATTGCCTTTTATGGACAAAGAATATTAATTTTATCACTTCTGATTCAACCGGAAGCAACCCCAACTTTTGATTTTCAAATACGACAATCTGTACATTTTGATATTTCGATCAAAAATGTTGCTAGTGTATGTAAAACAATCCGGTGGATCCAAAAACGAGAAAATATACATGGTGTCCCATTTTAAAATCAAAAGTTGGGGTTACTTCCCGTTCAACCGGAACTGATAAAATGAATATTCTCTTGTCAAAAAATTATCGATATGGTATACTTGCTACCTACGAAATTTCAAAACCATATCTCGAAAGATTGAGAAGTTACAGCACTGGCCGTTTTTAGTTCACTTCGATCTCTGTATACAGGGTGTCAATTTGATAACTTTCAATGCGAATGTCCCGCAATATGAGAAAGTTCTGAAAACGCCGTTTGCCAAAATGACATATACAGAGATAGGGGGCACTAGGATCGCCATATTTCAGTGAAGGGGTCCATAGATACGACAAAGCCCAACTTTAAATTCTCGAATGGTACTACTCCTTTTGTGATACCCCAAATTGAAGATCTCGTTTACTATAGTATTTACCTGTGCAAGAATTTGTGGATGAAAAAAAAGTTCTTGTACTTACAGGTTACAGGTAAATACTCCTAAATGAGCAGAAATTTCATTTGAGGTAACAAAAGGGGAGTGCCATTTGATATTCACTGAAATATTGTTCATCCTAGAGTTCCTTAATGTACTTGACACTGCTGTTTTGTCGTTTTTTGTATATTAGTTCATCCTAACTTCATAACATTTGTACCAAACGGTGTTTTTCCAACATTTTTTATTTTGCGAGATATTCGCATTGAAAGTTTTCAAATGGCACCCTGGTTATGTGATAATTCATTTCAGCATTATAGTTTCTATAATATGTCAAGGTTCATATTTTTGATTCACACATTTGATAAAAGCTAGCTGGCTTATTATTCTATTTGTTCTAGAGAAGCAAGGGTAAATATGGCCAGGTAATAGGTGAATAAATAAATTCAATAATGAAAAAATAATTGACAAAGGCATCGATGAGAATACTTCTATATAGAATTGCAAAAAAACAGCGATAGTTGATATAGGTATATAGGTATATATTGTTCCTCCCTTGGCCGTCCCCGCGAGATTAACCCGCAGAGTTGAGGCTTCGCACCCCTTCGTGGTCACTTTGGAGACCTGCAGAACATCTATTTCCAAAGACTCGTTCATCCAACGAACAGCGAGGCTCTGGAACACATTGCCAAGGATGGTGTTCCCCGAGGCATATTACCTCCAGAAATTCAAGAAGAACACCAATTCCTACCTCATTTTCCTTGGTTCTCACGATGTTCTCTGAACATTACAGGATATCCCTTTTCGTGGGAACCAGAACATAAAAAAACAGGTATTCGGTATTCGTCTTACAGTCTGCGATGATAACATGGTTCAAAAGAGCACCTTCATGATTAGTAGCGTAACTTATGCATACGCATATACTATTACAGTCTTTTCAATAAATTATAATAGAATGAAGGTTATATGAAGTCAACTATTTTCTCCGTAAATCTCAATGCCATTTCAAGAATTATACGTCTACGATAGAACTATGTTCCTATACTTATGGTTCATTGTACGAGTTGAATTTCTTATTTTTTTGAATATGCACTCGACATGAAAGAAGTAAGTGAATAAAGGGTAACTATAAGTATACATACATAACGTTTTATAACGATGATAATATATAGTTATCTATTATACAAGGGAAAAAAGTGGTAGATGTTAGCTCCAGGTTGTGTTGTCTCCCGACGCGAGCGGAGGGAGACAAAAAACCGTGAGCTAAAATCTTATATTTTTCTCGCGTATAATACACTATTTTTTTCTGTGACAGAAGAAAGGACGAATCAATATTGATGATATTACATTCTTTTGAAATCTGAAAATTATCGACGTGAAATTTGAAGTTTTTAACAGGAGGCACACCTGCGTTGTAGGCATCTTTTTCATTCTTTTGAAGTAATTGAAGTAATCAAATATCTGATGTCACTTCTGTCAGTCTAATTCTGTGATTTGATTTCGAAAAACTGCGAATTTCGCGGTTGTTTGATAATTTACGTAACCGCGAAGTCGAATGGACTTTTGACTTATTTTTCGGAACTATAGCACAACAAAAGCCCTCAACAGTGTATATATGTGATATATATCCGGGAAAAAAGTAATTTATGGAAAGTGACATTTTATAACCTGTCAACAGAGATGAAATGCCAAACTTTTTTTCCGTCACAGAAAAAAGGAAATGAAAGTTGTAGATTTTGAAGTTGCACAAATTATGTGCTTAAAAATGGTTATATCTAGAAACAATTATTATACATATATATATGCATGTTCGTCTATACATTGATTATGAATATAATAATATCTAAAGCACGGAAGTTTCACTGAATTGGTACTCCAATATGGAAATGTTTAATTTTTCCAGATGTTTCAGTCATTAGAACTATAATATTATAAGTAATTTGAATAACTCGATGGGGGTTTGTGAGGTATGGGGAATCCTCAAGTAACTCATCCTGAAATTATTTCTTTTATATGGTGCCAAAATATTTATTTTTGTATCTAGACCGCGAAATGATACTTTGGTCACCTCGACTATTTTTGTAACTCGGCTATCGATATCAGATATCGATGACGAAAGTAGCATTTCGCGATGGAGTTGCAAACAAAATTTTTTTCTACAAACGTCACGAAATATCGTTCTAAAGTAAATATATGCTTAGCTTGATATTAAAAATTGTGTTGAATTGGCTTACGAGGCCTCCCGCTATCCTCCCCAGGTAGGTACGCCCGATGTTCCACGAACATAATAGGAATTTCCTTTCGTGCGCTCCAAGAGATAAAACAAAGTTATTGTTGAACATCCAGGAACAAATGATTTCGTGGATGTTTGCTCGATTGAGGACCATAAAGTGGAAATCTAAGTATCTCATATATTTTACATAACAATAAATGCGCGAATAAGTATACTTCGCGCACTGTTTTACTTCGCGCATTGTTTTGTGCAAGGTATCATGGTAACGTAGGAAACTGAAAAGAAGTGTCACTTCGCAATTTGTTATCAATGCGCGAATCTTGTCATTGTTTGACGTTTGTAGAAAAAAATAAGGTATTCTATAGTCAAAATAAGAAAGTTGAAGTCAGCTTTTGGCACACCCTGTTTAGCTGGAGGACTGAATATATATCAGGTAGATTGGAAATGATCGAATATAACAATATTCCAATTTTCAAGATTTCAATTCAACTTCGAGTCTAACTGCAAGTTGGGAAACTCCTAATGTGTGGCCTACGTAAACCACCCTGTATATATATATCAAATCCAGAATAATTACAAAGGTTGATGAGCTCAAAGGCTTAGGTATACTTAAGATTACAGAACATAATATATAGTGATGACTCCTCGTATCATGGCTATAGATTTTGCTATTAGGAAGTCACGAATCGATTATCATTTAATTTGGAAATATTCATACCTAACCACAAGAATGTAGCTATTATGGTGTCGTCTCCGTGTTAAAAAATAAAAAATTAATATAACTGCCTCAACACAAGTAAACCTACCTATTACCTATGGACAATTCGCTAAAAAATATGCTCATCTTCTGTTGTGAGAAAAGTAGTGGGAGATCATACCGGATTTGGATGTTATAAATAGGTAGGTGATGATTACGAAATTGTTAAACGTTCATTCTAACAAATTTGTTTGTTTCTTGTGGTTTCAATTAGGTACCTCATACTGACATAGTGTAGTAAACTTCTGAAGTTATTTTAAAGATGCGCGGTGTTTATTTAGTGGTGAGTTTAACTTTGTTTTCGTTTTCTATAAGTATATATTTACTATTATACCTATAATACAGGATTAGGAACAAAGTTTGAATCACAAATGATGTTCTTCTGCTACAAATCGAAATGCGATTGCAGATGAATTTGGGATTATGAATATTTTTCACGAACCTATTGAATATACAGGGTGTCTGTAAAAGGTCTTTACAAAAACATACCACATATTTCCTAGACCAAAATAAGTCGATTTAAGTAAAATTACGTCAGTACAAAGTTGCATCGTTTGGACTCCAGAGGGCCTTGAAGTTACAATTTTTAAATCGTTTTTCCCATATAAATTTAAAACGGCATATGCGATTTTGCTGAAATTTGGTATATTGATATAGTTTTATGTGGCAAAAAAATGGTGTTAAAATTTTGTCCGATAATAATACATAGACGTAGAACTTTGATTTTTTAAATAATTGCACCTTTAAAAATTCTACGTCAATGGAAGAAAAGGAGCTTGAGTATGAAATTTAGATTGCGCAACTCATTCACTTTGAAAAAGGTACTCTTGATGAGACTCGATTGCTCTCATGGTTTTGACGAAAGTTGCATTTTAGTAATTTTAGAACATAAACAATAATTTTTAAAATACAAAGTTTGTCAAAACCATGAGAGTAAATCGAGTGTTATCGAGTGTACTTTTTTGTAGTAAATGAGTACCCAATCCAAATTTCATACTCAAACCTCTATTTAGCATTTTGGTTTTAGGACTTGCAGAACTGTATATGAAGAATGCCATTTTCAACGAAAATGAATGATAAAAGCATTTTCTATTCGTTGCCAACTTTTTCAGACCTAATAAGGGATTTATATTCGCCGTCATTTTGTTAATACGAGTTTTACAAAGAAAACTTGAAGCGGACGATATAGTGAATTTATATAGCTAGTATTGGTGACGAGGTGACGTAATACATTTAGTATAATAATAATTACTATAAATCAAGATTAGAAAAAATCGAAAACTTCAATGTTTGGTGGATGCTCTCATTTGAAAGTATGGTGAACGCGCTTGCCACCATTTATTTTGCGGTGGTTCTTGAAAGTTGATACTTAGCAGGTAATATTGGTAATAAGGTTTATTCATGCTTGTACGAATTTCGCAAAATGTATGCGAATCGCAAAATATAAAATTCTACGCTCATACTCATGCGTCAAAATTTGCGGGAGATAAGGGTTTGTTGTCTTATATAATTTCTTCATTTCCGGTCCCACCATTGAAAGAAGTTCATCAAATTGAAGGCACGTTACACGAAAGTAATTGACATATTTATTCGGGCTGTAACAATCTCCATAAATTGTTCGGCATTTAAAAATGCTTCGAACACTGCAGCTCTTTTTTTTGCATATGGAAACATCAGTAGCTCGATAGAGACGATACAAGTGATACTTTGATATCAAGTCGTCCAGAAAATCCATCCTGCGAAGAAAATTGAATCAATAATTGAAGAAATGATGAAATTTATATTTATAATTTTGTGTAGTTACATAGTCTCGTCTGTTTTCGGCCTCTGCTCTCCAATTTTTATATGAAAATAACAACACATTTTGTGCCTACTATGAGGTTGATTCCATCCGAATTCGTAGAAAAGTTCAAATATTTCAATTTCATTGCGATATTTGCAGTCGCCATTTTATTCGCATAAATTTTGCGGAATTCGGACAAGCATGAACATACCATTATGTGTAAACACAGTCTCCCTTGAGAAATGAAACAGTATCCTTTAAAGAAAAGGTCACGAACAAGAAGGTGAATTTAGCACTAATTATGTAGTGACACAATATCTACATATATTATATTAATTGACAAATATGATTCGAAGTGTTATAAGTTGATGGAAAGACATTTCAAAGATGATAGGTACTACATTTTTCACAGTGATCTTCCCATTTGGGATTTTAAATTTTTCACTTGGATTGTTCTGGATCAATACGTAAGAATCTAATTGAGCCCTGAGTATTGTGCAGCATTGGATTACTCATCATCATCTTTTTGGATTTGATGAAATCTGATAACTTCTATTTTTGCACCACATATACTCACATTTTAAGTCGTCCTTGAACTAGTCGAAACATTGGTCATCAATAATAATTCACATCTGTTTTTCCAGCTCACCCTCCTGGGCACTTTCTCCCTCCTCCTCGCTGAAGAGGTCCGTCTGATAGACCTGGACCCCCCGGAAGCACAGCAGATCATCGAACAACAGGACCAGTCCCTCAACTATGCACCCAAGGTAGGGGCCGATCTCGGGACCGATCGTTACCACCGATAAAACAAGGCCTGCATGCTCCGTGGGTGACGTCACTTAGTCAGGCCTAACCAGCGGCTCGAAACGACAAGCGCTTATAGCGCTATAAGGCGACCGCGTATTTCGATTTCAGTTTTATATCATTATTGAGCCGATTTTGCTCTTTTTTTGAAGGGCTTCCGGTTGAAAGAGGATGCCAGCCGTCAACTAAGCCCTTCTTCGCATCCCATTCGATTTTATTATGGAAAAACGAAGTTTCAAAGCAAAAACCAGAATAAAACACAAATACCCACCTACAGCAACCCATTCGAATTAAATATATTGGCAAAAATTGTAGTAATTCAATCTCATTAGAGGTAAACTTCACACCTACTTATACAGGGCCCGCAGAACATAAACTTATCATGAGATTGATCGAAAGAAAATTGGGAAAAATGTATTTCAGTTTGATAGACATGCCGTTTGTTATACCTAATTACCTATATTTATCTTGGAGAATTCCTATTACCTAAAAAGTGTGTAGTACATGTTAATATAATAGTTGCAATTTGATCATTGGAATGAATTCTGCATTCATTGCCACGAGGCAAATGACCGTTTTCAGAAAGAAATTTGAGAATGAATTGAGTCAGAAAACAAAAAGTCCAATGCATTCGAAATATGTTTCAAAACCCTCTTTTTCTGATTATCAAGACATTTTCCCGAATTATGTATCTCGTTTTTATCTATTTCAATTAGTAATTCCTTGATTTGATTGATATTATTAGAGATAAAAGGTGTTTTCAGATTGGCATTTAGAGATGTTTGTATCGCTAGGTCATACAAAAATGATTCCACATTCAAAACAAAATCAATCACAACCGAATATGTGATTACGGGCCCTGGAGAATAAGACAATTTGAATAATGTGACTTTTTGCAAATCGATAATTTTGAACCACTTTTCGGGCAACTGAAAAGACTAATACAACTAGAAATTCTTGAAATTCTGTGTAGCAAAATGATTTTTGGTAATTTTCGAATTCAGTTTTACTTTTGGTAAGTGCTTGTGCCAAATTTTTAGTCTCTAGTATCTCAAGTTTTTCATCACGACTTGTGCGTAATTTTACATCTTTCGATAAATAAGATGGACAGTTGGGAAATTGAGTGGGAATAACATCTCGTTTGAGCCTAGGAATTTTCAAATCTATTGTTACAGTTTTGCCAGTTTTTGAATCGGTTGCAGTAGATGAAGTAAAAATATCATCTTTAGTAAAATGTAAGTCACATACTTTACTGTACTTAGATGGAGTCGTAAAATCCTTGCGGTGAATTGCATGTACCCACTTTTTCGATAGTTCCTTGTCCAACGGGAAACTAAAAGCATGAACTTTTGGACCACCCACATAATTCCGCCGACAAAAGGGAACACAACACTTGTAAGGCATTGTTATTTCGCCTATCACAACACGAAATATTTCACAAAACAGTAATTTCTCTGCCAATTATTTTGACGAATAAACAACAAGAGAATTCGAGCACAGGCGATTTACCTACGCCACCGTTCTTAAACAAAAACAAACTGACGATCGATCGACGCGAATGCCTTGGAAGATGGCCTGAGTATGCGACGTCACGAGCTGTTTACGTCAGAGTCTGCTGGCCTTGTTTTATCGGTGGTAACGGCCGATCTCGGGACCGATACATAAAACATCAGGGTCGATATACAGTTGTATCAAAAAAAGCGTACAAGTACAGGCATTATTTGAATTCGGGGCGAATCTTTGATGAACGATATTTCACGAAGGTCTCTATGTTATCGTCTGAAAATAACCAGCAGCTTACCTCTACTAACACTCCATAAGATGGCCCACTATGGAAAAAAATCCAGAGACGGACTGGGAAATTCATGTTCTTTATAAATGTCATAATTTTGACTTTCTGGATCGTATTTTTCAAAAACTCTCATCAGAATCGGAAAGATAAGAGAACACACTACAGGTGCAGCATTTCATTTCATTCATTTGTATGGCACACTTCGGCCGATTGGGTGAAAAAAATTCAAACAAAATATTGATGAATATTTCTTCGATTTGGACGGGCACATTACTCTCCTCGACTGAAGGTATGAAAATCATTTTTTTTGCATATTGAAATACCACCAATACTTGAGAATAGGTTTTTTCAAACAAAAATTTCAGGATTTTCAGAAAATACTACAGAACAATTATAATTTTCGAAAAAGCTTTGTCTATATCTTAACAATCTTCAACGAAGAGAGAAATGTACTCCTCCAATTCCTTCACATTTTCTGCATCTCTTCAGGAGATGTCTCATGGTTTTTAGGATAATTTGCCTATCATTTCTGATCATATCTGAATCTGTAACTATGCTCTACCTCAGTTCCTATCTGGTGTTGACTGCAGTCTGATATACCAATCGTTTCATATGTCTCCTTAGATAATAGTCTAATACTGTTAGGAGACCTATGAGGCCAAGAATGGATGCCGCCACGACCTATCCAGCTATTAGAAAATTGGGTGTCTAGGTATTCTCTAACTTGTATTGAGTAATGTGAAGGTGACCCAACCTGTTGAAATGGAATACCTCTTTCGATCCATTTGCTTACATTCATCACAGCCTTCTTTTTTAGTGCTTTCTGAATCGTGAAAACACTAAACTTAGAATTTAATTCGCTAATCGAGAGAGTTCACATGCAATGAGATCATATTCAGTAGTTCTTCGAAAGTTCCTCTATGTGGTATGAGTAGGCACGAATATCTGATTCGGATAGAAATCTTTCACTTAAGCGATAATTCCTCATATTGAGTATAATGTTTCCACATTTCCACAAGTAGAACCAGATTTCAATTGGGAGTTATTTATGTTCATATTTCAAAGGTCTCTTCCAGAAAATCAAGTCCGGTCCTGAATTTTTTTATCGAATAGAGCTTCTTCCCAACTCTTATGATACATCGATATACGTGCGCAATCATGAAAACGTTCATCGGTATTTTGTTCGATATTTTTTTACGATTTGGTCGAAGTGCACCGTACGAAATGAACGGCTACACTTGTAGTGTCTTTCCTGATCTTCCTCATTCTGATGAGAGTTTTTCAAAAATACGATCCAGAAAGTCGAAATTATGACATTTATAAAGCAAAAGTTTCCCAAGTCCGGCTCTGGAATATTATTTCCATAGTACTGACCTGCTAAACGGAAGTGCCGTATGTACAAAACAGCCATTTCGAGATATGCGACTATTTGAATTTTACTTTGGCCATCGTCCACCAATATTACTCGAGGACTTACTATACTTTTATTGTTTGAAAGGCATTTTGCAATAGTTGTCTAGAACTTATCGAAAAAGGTCAATTTCAAAATACATTGCTGAAATTATTGTAAAAATTAAAATTTCTAAAACACGTTCTAATAGAAATTATATCTTTACGATTCATCGCTATAGCAGTGATGTTATATTGAACAACTATTAATATTCGATTTTCAAATTTCTAAACTAGTTGTGGAAGGTCATAGATTGAAAGGAAAATGTCAGGAATTTTTTATTAATAAATGGACTAATGATACTCCAATAGAAAACGCATAATCGGAGTTCAGAACCGTACCCATTATTCAGCGGTCAAATAAATTATAGTTTCAAAATTCTTCCAACGCCACTGGAATAAGAACTGTTTCTGAATTGAAAGAAATATTTGTTAATTTTGCTCACATCCTATTAGGAATTCACCTATACCAATTCACATATTTCACAATGAATAAAATATCCAGTGGTGCATTCTTATTGGGATTGTTTTCGGAAATTCACCCGTGATTGGTCTCCCTGATTACCTGATTACAAATTTCATGGATTCAAAAAATTTTCTAAATTTTACTTCAAACTTGAAAATTTTCAAAAATTTAACAAATACAACAAATTCAAAAATGATCGCTATTATAATTGGTACGATTCGGCCTCATTAGCATTTTCTCCCTCAACGGAAATTGATGGGTTTAGACTACAGATATGCGAACTCTAATAAATTTGCGAAAGGCAAAATTTTGAAATTTTACTGAAGAATTTATTTCGAATAGAAATAAGAGATAAAGTTCATTCTTGGTTTGGAAACTATCTAATTGACTGAAAGCATTTTGTATATAATACAGGGTGTTTCTTAAGTACGTGTAGAATATTCAGGAGCATGTTGCTGACGTCTAAATAGGAAGAAAAGTTCGTACAAACATATGTCCGAAAGTTATCCGTTTCTGAGATACAGAGTGTCAAAGTTTAATTCTTATTGGAAGAGTTCAAAAAAGCAGGTACAAATAAGTGAGAATCATAATTTGCCTACATTCCAATGTTGAATGAAGAAGAATATTGAATGAAAGGAGAAAAATGCATTGGCGTATCTTTTCTGATATTCACTAGAGGCGACTTACGAGCCACATGAAAATTATTTCGAATCCAATAACTCGAAAACAGTACCAAGAAAATATTTTTTACACAAAAGTGTTAACGTGAAACGTACGTTATACAGGTATGCACAAAAAAGTTATAACTTTTCAAAAGACTCAAAAGACACATAGGTGGCGCCACCCCCACGAAAGAGACAAACTAACATAAAATTTGATATTGTCATTGAAAAATACCCCTTGAAACCAAATTTTATTCCGATATCACAATTATTTTGAAATTTATTATAAAAAACAAAAATAAGAATTCAACTTTGACACTCTGTATCTCAAAAACGAATAACTTTCGGACATATATTTATACAAACTTGTCTTCTTATTTTGACGTCAGCAACATGCTCATTGCAACATGCAACATTCTACACGTACTTAAGAAACACCCTGTATATGGGAGGTTGAGTAATTATTTGACTCCACCGTTTTTTCGGTTTTTCCAAAAATGGGTTTTGCCATTAAATCTTGATTATGTACGTCCTCATATGGGCACAGGGTCCCTTTACAATTATTAACCTGACCCTTCACCGGTGCTTATTTGCCCAAAAATTGTATTCAAAGTTTTTTCAAAATGTTTTTTACATTCCCACGACCTTTGGTTTGTAAGAATTAAGTCTGATGATGGACACATGACTGTCCGAAACATGTTCCCCGAAATAATCTTTCGATTACTAAACGTTGTGGTGATGATTTTGTGTTTTCTAACCCTCTCAAATGTTTTTATTATTATTCTTATTACCAAGGTCGACTCGAACGTCCCGGCCGTCCGATTCCTCGGCAACGAACCCCACCACGTCCTGGAGGACGTCTACCTGGCCAAGCAGTACCACGGCCAGGACGGCCTCGGGGGGTACCTTTACGGGTACAACGTGCCAGACATCGCCAAGACCGAGAAGAAGAAGGCCGGCGGCGATCTGCGAGGAGCGTACAATTACATCGCCGGGAATGGGCAGGAAATTAAGGTAACTATCATATTTTTTCTCTCTCTCTCTCTCTGAATATATGACCTCTTGTCTTACGACATACAGCCAGAGCCCTTATTACGGAGAATCCGTCCCCATCCGGTCTGGATACCGGCGTAAATAATAAGGGTTTTGTTTTTCGAGCACCCTGGATGTCTCACTCGAAGTGATACCAGGAGATTACTCACATTCCTGGAAAGGCACAATATACTGAGTGGCTCACAGTTTGGTTTTCAAAGTTCCAAGAATACGAATGATGCCATCTTTGACTTCCTGGAAGAGTTATATGTGGGGATAAATATAGGTAAAGTGGCTGCAGCAGTATTCCGTGACTTCTCCAAGGCCTTTGATTGCGTTGATCACAGAGTGCTGCTGCAAAAATTATTCACTTATGGTTTCAAAGGAACAACCCTCAAGTGGTTCCAAACTTATTTATCGGACAGGAGTCAAATGGTGAAGCTACCAAATGAAACTTCTAGTGTCTCGAAAATTACTTGTGGAGTTCCACAAGGGTCAGTGCTTGGTCCCATTTTGTTCCTTCTCTATGTGAATGACCTATCTGATATCGACATACAAGATAAGTTTACAATGTTTGCAGACGATACAACCCTACTATGGCACGGAAATGACATAAACTCCTTGAAAAATATAATTGAAGTTGATTTAGAGAGAGTCAAATCTTGGTGTGATTCCAATTCTTTATGTTTCAATGTGAATAAGACTAACGTAATCTCATTCAAATTCGCTTCTGGAAACCTAAGTCTTCAGAATCATGTCATCGAAAACAAGACGTCCACCAAATTCTTGGGATTATGGATTGATAATACCCTGAAGTTTGATGAACACATACAATATCTCAACAAAAAACTTGCATCAGGCTGTTATGCTGTCAGGGTCATTACCGATGAGTTGGGAATAGTAGCAGGCAAAACAACATATTTTTCATTAGTTGAGTCGCATCTGAGATCTGGTATCGCTTTTTGGGGTTTCTGTAGCAAGCAGTTGATACCATCTGTATTTGTTCTACAGAAAAGGGCGGTTAAATATATATCTAGAGCTAAGCGTTTGGATCACTGTAGACCACTGTTCGTCAAGAATAAAATTCAACAGTTCATTGCATCTTCATTTTAGAAACAGTATGTCTCATACAAAAAAGAGAAGACAAGTTTCCTTCAGAAAATGAATATGACACTCGGCAAAAAACCAATATACCTCTGCCGGAACCAACTTCAACGATGACCAAAAATTCAATTATATTTGAGAGTCGGAAGATCTTAAATCATCTACCAGCTGAAATGAAAAGTATGACAGACTTAAAAGCATTTCGAAAGCGTGTGAAAAAACTTCTTCTTTCAAAAGCATATTACAGCTTGGGAGAAAATTTACAAGTCAGATATTGAGTACCTAAACCTGTGAGGTCAAATCGCCTTTTTAAATTATTTATTAACCCATGTCTTTCTTAAAATGTTTATAGAATCTTACGTCTTGTCTTAATGTAAACTTTTATACTTTCTGTTGTCCAATATATTGCTTTATTTATATATTTCAAATTTAAGACAAATTCATGCTTTGTCAATAAGAATTTTTTTTCTTCGACAATAAAGTATATTTTGAATTGAATTGAGGTATTGTGCTCTTTTAGCGTTTCAAACTCCACAAAAACATTCCGACCTGAAAACGCCGCCTGTCTTCCACCGTGGTTGGAAGTCGAATCCACTCATGATATTTTTTTTGTATGGTATTGTGAATATGACTCTGAATTCAAAATTTCTTGGTGACGCCCCTGAATGAAATTCTGAAATTTTGAATTCATAGTCTTATTTACCATCAAAGATTTATGCAGTACACTAAGTTTCGTAAATTTGTTGTGAAGGATTTCAAAGTTATAGAGAAAAAATCGTCTATGAGGTGTCCAGGAACTTTTTGCCTTCTTTTCATGCAAGGAATGCGCCCCTGGAAGGATGCCGCTTACTTTTGAATCACCCTGTATATCGGTTGACCCAGACCCAATTTACTCCCTTGTATCTCCGTTGGTTTTTTGAATGGATATTTCAAATTTGTTACTTCGATTTGATCGCATAAGTGTATGATTCTGCAAGTATCAGACTAAATATCACACTTTCGGTTTGGCCGGAAGTGCATAACATTTTCTTATTTCGAATACAAATTATTTTTTTTCTGGATATAACGATTCAGTATAAAATTACCTATCTAACGATATATCACAATCATATTTTCAATCCACAATCTAATCATATAATAAAGATTTTTCAAATAATTTTTTTTGTTTTCCCCTCGTAACGGAATATGTCATGAAAGTGTGCTATGGATAATAGAACAATAGCAATACAATTTCAGTATTACTTTATTTTTCAACACCAAAATGACCTTATTTTCTTCAATTCTATCATAGAATTTTTTGAAGTTGGTAAGAAACTTCAATACAAATTGAAATAGCAGACATCATGTTTTTTTCCATACGGCGAGGTGTGAGATCTGGAACCAAAAACTTCTGTATTTCCTTAAATATATGGTATAATACAGTTCTCTGATCGAACTTCAACGTTCTGCCCTTCATTCAAATCATGGTACATTTTTTAAAGCATTTTTATTGAAGAAACTCAACTTATTTTGCGAGTCTCTATAGATAGAACGGCGAAGCTTTGGAATTCTTCGCCAATGGAAGTATTTCCAAGAACTTATCATACATATTATCATTGTTACTTAAATTTACAGGTAGAATACTGGGACGATGGTAATGGTTTCCACCAAATCGATAATGTACCAAAAATTCTACCCAAACAAATAGATGACCTACCTGAAGTCAAAGCAGAAAAAGACAAATTCCTAGCCAGATGGCAAGAAGAAGCCGAAAGAAATAGTCGTCCAGTTGCGTAAGTATCCTTATCAGCAATTATTTTCATCACCATAGAAACCATAAAATTCAATTTCAGGGACCCCTACAACAGTGAAGGACAGTATGCTAGTGGTCCACTTTCTGCCCAAGGTCAACTGGAGTCCAAAAGACAGTTGCAGCAGCAGCAACTCAACTCATACCAACCAAGCGGCCAATACCAATCTGGACAGTACCAGCAACCAAACCAGTACCAGCACTCGTCTGGACAGTACCAACCATCAAGCCAACCAGGACAGTATCAAGCTGGACAACAATCATCATCCACTCAGACTGGACAGTACCAACAGCCTGGTCAGTTCCCACAACTCAACCAGTATCAAGCTGGACAGAAACCATCATCCAGCCAGTCTGGGCAGTACCAACAAACAGGACAGCAGCAACAACCCACTTCGTATCAAGCTGGACAGCAATCACCATCCAGCCAGTCTGGACAGTACCAACCATCTGGTCAAACCGGACTGTATCAACAAGCGGGTCAAAACCAACAATCCAACCAGTTACAGTCTGGACAGAAACAGTTTCCTAGCCAATCTGGACAGTATCAATCACAATTCGGACAGAATCAGAATCATCAGCCTACAGGACAGTATCAACAGACAGGGCATCAGTATCAAGCAACTGGACAGCATCAGCAATCTGGACAAACTGGGCAGTATCAACCAACAGGACAGCAGCAGTCTACACAAACAGGACAATACCAACAACCTGAACAATATAAAAGTCAAAACCAACGACAAGAATCTAGTCTAAATCAGATAGACTATAGTGGACAGTACAGCGAGAACCAAAACATATATTCCAAACCGCAGCCATCCTATTCGGAATCTGGACAGTATAATCAAGCTGATGGGCAGTACCAAGGGAAATCGAATGAAATTGACAATTCGGGAAAATACGACAAGAGTTCGGAAGAAGAGGACACTACCGGGCCGCCTAAAGGTTTCTTCTATAGCTTTGATTATCCTGTAGGAATCATTGTTCAGAAAGGAGATTTGGTGAGGAATAGTGAAGTGAAGAACGTATATGATGAAAATAAGGCCAAGTTTGAAAGTCAATTGAGATCCGGAAGGTCAAATGGATCCAGCCAGAGTGGTTATCTTTATGTTAAGAATTAATTAGTATCCTGTGATAAGATACTTTCTATTTATTTATTAAATATAGTTCGTTTCCTTAAATTTGTCATTCTACTACATATATTCAAAAAATTATACTATAGGGAATAAACTTAGTATAGGTATATCAATTATGAATACATTGAGGAAATGATTTTATTATGGTGGTTCATTTATCATGTGTTTCATAGGAAGATGCACCCAAAACTAGAATCATTTACATACAAAATTCTTCGTTATGACTGGCATTTTGTGTGCTATCGATTAATTTTTTTCATTGGAAGAATCAAAACGTTCATAATTTTCTAAGGACCACGTACAATTAGAAAAGAGTCGGTTGTATGGTAGAACTGATCATTTGATTTATCTTAAATGTATGATAAATTGACATTCATCATACAGGACGTGGCAAATAGCCAGGAAAGTAGTTGTTTTCTGTTTAATATTCAGAATTATTATATATATATATGCATATCTTTAAATGAAGGAGAATGCAAATTCTCTACTTCAGAAGATTTTGTTTTCAAATTCTTATCGTGTGTGTTCAAATAGATGTAATTCAATATTCGTCGTGCCATATAGCCAGGAAAGTAGTTGTTTTCTGTTGAATAAACCGAGAAAGAATTGATATTTTCATCACATGGAGAATGCGAATTCTCAATGTATTCCTTTATATATAGTAGGTATTGGTTCCCTACAATATGGAGCAGGGATTATATTTCAAAACAAAACTTCATTTCTAAATATGTAAATTCTTTATAAAAAACAACAAATAACTAAAATAAATATTCATGAATAAATTAAACAATAAATAACAACAATACATCATCGTAAAAATAATTATGCAACAAGAAAAATAGATTAAAACAGGTTAAAAATATCTACATCCTATAGACGATTTGATTCGCTAATGGTATACTCTCATCTTCAAAAATAGAATAACTTGATCGGTGAATCATGTTATTATATAATATCTCGATAATGTTATAATGATGATTTCGAACCGGATATAAAAATATCCATCAAAGTGCACCTATCCCATCATATGAGTTATACGTAATAAATATATACTTCTTGAATAAGTGTCATGAGCACTTTTACAGGGTTCAATACAATTTCCAAATAGATAGAAGATTTATCATCATATATGATTCATATAGGCCGTGTGTAGTTCTCTAACTCGTAGTTTGAATGAGAACTTATGGAATGGCTCAATACGCAGAATTTATCATTCCGTTTATGACGTCAAACGGTGTGATTTATAACCTCACAGACAACTTCAGCTGACGTCATCGCATTGCCTTCTAGTGTTTACACTGCAATATAGGAATTGAGCCATCTTGAACATCCTTGAAACCAACTAGGTTCACTGACGTTGAAAGTTTTATATCTGATTGTTGGATATTTCATGGTGAAATTGGCATCGCATCCTAGTTTAACACATGCGAGTAAGAAGGAAACACATACATTGAGTGGAAAGACACTCCACTAGCCCCTGCTAATGGAATTCGCTATATATAAGAGTACTGGATCTCCTTGAGAATCAAGGAAATGAATCAAAGATCTCGCTCTCCAAATCATTCATCATCGTAACCGAACTGTCCTTGGAACTGCCCGTGTACCGCCGGCCGTCTTGTCCGTTCGCCACCACAATGAAATACTGCTTCTGCCCAGTCTGAGTAGGCCTGAAGATCGCCCCCAGAATGGGCACCCGCTGGCCCAGGTTCTGCGCGAAGCTCTGCACCCCGCTGCCCACGGTTTGCGCGAAGCCCTGTATGTTGGCGCCCACGCCCTGGGCGAAGCCCTGAATGTTGGACGCGGCCGAGCCCACGCCGTTGCCCACGGCCTGGAAGGCGTCAGGGACGTTGATTTCGATGGGGAGCACGTTGGAGGACTGGATCCAGTTGCCGATGAAGTCGAAGGGGCCTCTCGTTTGGGCGTAGGGGAAGTTTTGGAAGGCGCTGCAAGAATAATCAACGAATTGTGATGATCCATCAGTATATAGCACATATGTTTGTGTTTATGTAGTATTGTTCATATTACTATATTATCTTATTCATTTAGGTCTATATAAGAACAGCCTGTAACCTTAATTTTGATGAGATCAATATAGCGATAGTTCGTATATGAAATCTGATATCTGCTGAAGATGCAGAATTTTGTTTAATATTCGCCGGGGCCAAATGAAGTCAATAAGGTGGTAATCTCCTGTTCATTTTTTTTTCAATATAGAATATATCGTAGATCCAACAGAGGCGTTCCATTTTTAATAGTCGTTATAGATTATACACTCACCGGTAAAGAAAGCTGGCCGAGGGGTGAAATTTAGAAAAAAATGTCGAAAAAAAATAACAAGGAGGCCAGGGCGAATGATATTGAGAAACTTAAACTAGGTAACATTTTTAATGCTTGCATGATTTTGATGGAATTTTGACCAAATCGTAGAATTATGTTTCGGAATGTTAGCATGAATTTCAGTTCCAATATCATCCGCCATTTTTTCAAAGGAATATCTTTGTCTGGAATTCAGAGGTCGTTTATTTAGAGGTTTAGAGAATTGAAAGACATTTTAAATGAGGTATCGCTCGGCCCCCCTCATTCCATTTAAAAAAATCGCGTCCAGAAACCTTTTTGAAAGATACAAGATAAATGTATCGGACGTCGGTTATATTTTGATTTATGCAAATCTCGCCTTTGAATATACGATTTACACATTTTCGTCATTGACAAGACACCAATTTTCTGACTGACATATATTCAACATTTCTTCTTTCACTCATACAGGATAAGAAATATCATTAAACTACTGAAAAAAAAATGAAAATAAGAGGAAATCTTCCACAGTAACAATATATATTTTTATTGGGATCAAAATTTAGCACTTAAACTACCATAGGGGAAAATTGAATAAAAAAAAATACAGCCGTTCGAAAGGTGAGTAGGAGGGGGAGGGATTAAATATGTACACATGCAGTGTATATAAACGTATATAAATCTTGCTAGTGTTGCACAAACCCCCGAGTGTATTCTCCAAATAAACAACCCCCATATGAAGTGGTCAAACTGAAAAATTTATTAGAAATGAGATTATACATGTACTCGTTTCTCTCGAGATTCAGGATATACATCTACAGGGTGAAATTTAGTCCCCTCACCACAAAACAATATTTTCAAAGACTCGAAATTCTAATTTCTTTTTTTAAATAATGATTCATCGGTGGTCGAGAGCGTTAAGGCGCTGAGTTTCGTATGGGGACTCCCACCGAGACCTAGGTTCGAATCCTAGTTAGGCCATGGATGTTTGTATTTGTATGTATACCTAACCCTGCACAAGTTTCGACTTATGGGGCGTTTGGTCCCAGTGCTGGGACTAACGAGGTATGCATCAATTGCGAAAAAAAAAAGTATGTATAGATATATTAGGTAGAGTTTTCAGTTTTAGGTGATTCGGAAAAATATAAAGCACAAAAAATGCAGTCTTCAAAATATTGACCTACAAAAAATAAGCTTCAATTTAGATTATGTAGGTTAAATGAAGCAAGGATTTATGAAGTAACAACTCGAGTGACAAGAAACATTTGCATTTTATCATTGTCCTATATTATTATGTAATGGATGCAGATATGCGGGAATTAGATAAAGGGTTTGTATTATGTTATTTGCATATTACTTCACTTGAACTTTCGTTTATTTTGATTTATGAGGTCTACGTGCTCCCCTTCAAAGCTGTTACAATTCAGATATTCTCAAAATTCAATAGGTATTCAAGTGTTTTCATCTTTTGAATCGCAAAAAAGAGAATCTCGATTATGTGTGAAGAACATATCATGCCTATACATTATTCAAACAAGGTGTCACTCACTATCGATTGAATTTTTCCCTTAGATTTCTAATATGTATCGAAATCGTAAACGAAATAAGAGACATTTTGGGGAAAATCATCTGATTTGTCCTTACCAGATATATTGAAATGATACCAATATTTTTATTTATAAGGAGAGAAAACACCAAAAAATTTTGGAGATGAATCATAAATCTCTACTGCGTGATGTTGACTTGTCTTCATTCCACAATTGCAAACCAAGTCAGTCATACAGACTGACTGACAAAAAACGCCCCAAAAGCCATATAGCGCCGCTATATATCAACTATCCGATTTTGAGGAACAAAAAAGCAGATGAAATAATTCATCGAATATTACAAGGTGACACTTAGAATCCCTTGTTTTTAAAATGGCATTGTATGTTTTTTAATTTTTTTCTGATAGAGATTTTTTTTCTCAATACAATGATGTATAAAAAGTTGACTTGTGCACAAAATTAAATGAAAATAATGTATGCTCCGTCCTCAAGAGATGGATCATTTTTTATATTTTTTCTAGTTTGTAGATTCCCATAAGACAGTCATTGTTTTCAATAGACTATTTTCTCATTAACAAAGACTCACAACGGACTCAACCTTCAATGACTCAATAATAGTTATTCATTATACAAGGGAAAAAAATTGTAGATTTTAGCTCCAGGTTGTGTTGTCTCCCGACGCATAGCGGAGGGAGACAAAAAACCGTGAGCTAAAATCTAATATTTTTCCCGTGTATAATACACTATTTTTTTCTGTGGCAGAAAAAAGGACGATTACCAATATTGAGAAGACATTACATTATATTCAAATCAGAAAATTATCGACGTGAAATTTGAAGTTCTTAACAGGAATGACACCTGGTTATTTAGTAATTTACTTAACCGCGAAATCAAATGAAGGATAAAAGGACTTGCAGTTCTTTCTCGGAGACGGTGTTATTGGCTTATTTTTCGGAACTATAGCACAACAAAAGCCATCAAAAGTGTATATGGTGTGGAGACTTTAACTGGAATAAATTCGTTATCGGGGAGATCAATATTTTTTCTAAAAATTCCCGACATATACATCTACGATTTAATGCATTTACCTACCTTTTGCAAGCAATATCGAGAATATCCAGGGGTAGCTGAAACCACCCTCAT